CCCCAAAACCCCAAAACCCCAAAACCCCAAAACCCCAGTACACCAGCTTAAAGTTGAACTATATAATGGAAAATACTTAGAACAGCAAACAACTATTTAAGTCTTATGGGCTAACAATCCCTCTAAAATAGCTCTTATGACCAGAAGGCTCTGGGCTCAGATACTTAGGAGTTCCTAACTCACTGAGGAAAGTCAAATTTGGCATAATATTCTTCAGATTTTTCTTGATCTTTAGTCTTCTTTTGGGCATCTGTCTTTGTTGATTTAGCTTCAGCTGAATGGACTTCATATTTGCGCTGATTTTCTGGCCTTTTAAGTGCCTATTCATGAATTTATCAGTCTTGCTCTTAATTTTTGAAGGAATTAAGAATTTACTCTTTAAATTTCTATAGTAAAGTAAGTAAGAACAATGATTATAGCTGTTTAAGGCTTACCTTTTAATGGTATTAGGGCAAGAATTCATTGAGGAGTCACTATCATCCTGATTTTTCTTGAACTTGTCAGCAAAATTCTGAGCCACCGGCATCTTCTCTAAGCACTCCTGACTGAAAATTCTAATCTTCTTCGGCAAATCAACTTGTTGTTGAAATGATTTACTCTAGAAATATGAAAATTATAATTTCAAGGGTACGAATAAAATTCGATTCTGAAATTTCAAAAAATACTATTCTTCATCTATCAATGGTTCTAAAATCCTAAAAATAAAGATTTCAGGTCACGTAGCCCTTCTCTAATGTAAAATTATGAATTTCTATATGTTCAAAATTTGTCGAATCCATAACCTTAACAATCTAATATTTAAGAAATATTTCCTAAATCCCTAAGAAGACGAATAGTCTTATTCTAGCTCAAATTTCCAGACATTTGGAGGATATTAGCCCTTTGCCACCTCTTGGGCCAGGTTTGGCTTCCAAAGATCCATAGAACGAAATATTCGCTTTTGTTACTTAGAGAATTATTTACTAAATAATATCGAACATTATTTAGCAGAGGAATCATAAAAGGATGAGTCTGCGTTAATATGCCTTACCAGTTCATCTAAGTTGTTAGCGTTAGCTTTCCTTTTCTTCAACGTTAGGTATTGCCTCATGTCGATAGTGCGCCTTTCCACTGTGCTTGACAACATTTGGGATTTATTAGTGTTTGGGACATCTTAAAGAAATTAAAGAAGATAACCTTACCTTCCTTCGACCGATTTGAAAAGGGAGATAACCTATTTTCAAATTTCTTATTTCTGCTGACAGAGAATACTCTGATATTTTTCGAAGCAAAGGTTGAAAGTTTACCCATTTTCTTTCGCATCACCCTCACTGGACTGACGAAGCTATCAGCTTCCTTCTTATTGGTAATAATTCTTCGAATAGAGTTCTCTTTCTCTTCGATAGTTTGGTTAGCGGAGAAGTCTGAATTCTTGCAGTGTGTATGAGATGAAATCCACTTAGTGATATCATTGCTGAGAATTCGCTTACTCATCCTTGCATTAGGCTTTGATACTTCCATTACTACACAGGTATTAAAAATAATTTAGATTTTATTAAGCTAGCATTCTGGGGTTTTGGGGTTTTGGGGTTTTGGGGTTTTGGGG